TAGCCCAGAGACATGAAGAACTTCAGTTATGTCCCAAATAATTTACTGATCTTGTGAAATCCAAATCGCTGGACCATGACAGAAACACAGATGAAAAATATGCTTTCAGCAGGGCTATGTTTTCACATTTTAGGCAAAGCTGGTGACATAGAGAGTGCAGATGATATGAAGGTGACAGGATTCCTTCTGAGGTTGGAGTTCTATGATGTCAGTTGTTGCATACGAAATTTTTCAGTGAGTCCCAGTTTTGCCATCTCAAGTTCCAGGTGAGCAGCTCAGCCCAGGTCTTGTACTTCCAGTGTGTTTGCTTCATAAGGAGGTTTTCCTGAAGATGGTGATGCCTTTACCTCCAGGAACAGCTTCACAGTCTGTGGTGTTCAGCTTCAGAACAATCCCACCTGTGACACACAGCATAATATCTGCAGGGCATGAGCAAAGACCCAAAGTGGCCCACAGTAAACAAAAATAACTCTGTAATTGTCAGCAACACTGTCAAGGATGTGATAGACTGGTTGGTGTAGAAGCATCAGAGTGAAAAATGGCAGGATAAGGTGCATTAAAATGTCAGGTGTTGATGGTACTGAAATTATTGGGTCACCAGGATCTGAGTACCAATCTACCTGCAGCTTCTCAGATATGAGGCTGGGAGCTACAGGACAACAGGTAAAGCATGATATGAAACAGAGACATGAGAGAACAGCAAGACAGACCACAGTCAGCCTCCAGATGGGACAAAAAGGAACATGCAAACCTAGCACATCTTTGCTAACCTACGAAAAGCCCAGAAGACACGAGGAGGACTCGACAGCTGCCATCCTCTATTATTTCAGGGAATCTTGGAAAGATTGACTGAATACATGCATCTTGGAGCTTGCATGCTGGATGGACTCCTCGTACATATTCATGCCTGTGAGAATGTGTGTATGGGATTGTAAGTGAAATCAGTTTTGATTTAGTTTTGTTTTAAAGTAAAAGACTCTCCTTTCCTAGGAGGTCTCACATTGCTGCCACAATGTCACAGCATTATTTCCTACAAGGTGAGCAGGGATGACACACTGTCTGACAAATGCTGCCCAGAGTGAGGAGAAGGCAGCTCAGAATTCGAAAACTTTCTGAATTAACAAGGAATGTCCTTGACATAACAGGCACAGCCCAGCTGAGCTCTGTGCACAAACTCACAGCCCCTTCCCTGCACATGTAACAGTCAGTTTGATGAACAGGCAAGGAAAAAGCACAAACAGGACAAAGACCAAAAAATGAGAGAAAGAGGGTGATTTATAAGAATACAGACAACTCAGGCCAGCCAGGTAGGAGTCTCCAAATGAATCAAGTGCTGACTCTTCTGAAGAAGAGATTTTTTCACAAAAGCTGAGTTAGGGCAGACAAATCCCCAGAGCAGAGGAAACAGGCTGGTGGGAAATAAGACAGACAGAAAAGGTGACAGCAGAGAAGACAGGAAAAGAGAAAAGTCCTCTGGAGAGCTTCTTCCCTGTCACCTGGAATGACTGAGGTCTCCTGAAGAGAAGGAGCTCTCTTCTTTGCAGGAAGGAGGCTGTAAGAGATTGTAAGTGGAAGTAAGTGATGCCAAGTGACTGCCTCATGAATCTCATGTTGAGAGAAGAACAGTGGGAGATCACTTCACCATCAGCACAGAACAGAAAGACACTGTCTCTTGAATTAATAACCTGAATCAACTGTTCTGCTTCTGGAAGCCACAGGAAGATGCAAAATCCAGATATAGCTTGCATTTTCTGGATGTTATTAGTTCAGATGAAATTCAAAATCAAAGCAGGCAGGACAGGACATACTCAGAACTATGCAAACACTGCAGGTGTGACTTACCTTCCCCCACATTAAACGCATTTCCAAAAGGCACAGAGCAGATATTCAGTGTACACCACGAAATAAGACATGAGAGTTAGACATAGAGTTCCTTTTCAGAGAGGAACAGGGCTCAAAAAAGAAGAAAGAATTGTTTATACCTTCCACGGGAAACTCACCCAGTCTTTGTGTCTCATTGGAAAAAGGTTTCACAGGACAGCAAAACTGGGCCCCTCTTCCAGTGTTTGACCACCTCTTTGCTTAGCTCAGTCTGGAATCTCTGATGTTGCAAACTTTGTCTTATCCTACCCCTGTTCAACGTTAAGAGTCTGGCTTTGTCATCTATATTCTTCCATTAGGCAGCTGTAGACAACAAGACCTTTGCCTTCTCTTCTATGAGATAAGAAGGTGAAGCTCTCTCTGCCTTACCTTGTACACCATGTGCTCCAGCCCCCTCATGCTTCCTCACTGTCCCCCATGCCATTACAGCTCTTCAAATTATGACAAGCCTTCTCCAACACATCAGGTTTGAACATCTCCTTGCAAGGTTATCCTGCTGGGAAAACCACTCTTGTCCCTTTTGACCAGGTGGATCCCATTCCTCTCAGCAGTCCTTGTTCCTCAGAGCACCCTGTGGTTAGAGAAGCCAAAACACTCCCTGTGACAGCAGCCAGTCAGCGTTCCTTCCTCCTTCACCAGCAAGATAAGGAACACCACCCGAGTCCCCATACCCTCCACCTTCATGTCCCAGAGCACTCCTGTGGCTCTGAGTGTGCCCGAGGCTGCCTCTAGCAGCATCCCCTCACTTCCCGTCTGGACACGTTAATGTGGGCCCTCCCCATAGAGACACATGTGCATCTCTTCAGCTTCCTGCTATTTCTTGAGCACACTACACTTGTGTCTACAGCATCCAGCTTCAGGCACTCTTTCAGAAGTGGGCAATAAATAACACTTGTATACAGCTGATGTGCACCAACTGAACCCCCAAGCCACTAACCGAGCCCCCAATTCCCTTTGTGCAGGGCTGCTCTCCAGTCTCTTGTCCCCCAGTCAATACACACATCCAGGTTTGCTCTATCCCAGAAGCAGAATCCAGCATTTGTCCTTGTTAAACTTCATGGGGTTGGTGATTTCCCAGCACTCAAATCTACCAAGCTCTCTCTCTAAGGCTCTCTATGCTCAAGGGACTCAACATCTCCTCCTAGTTTAGTATCACCAGCAAACTTTCTTAATGTGCTCTCAACTCCTGTGTCCAGGCCATTGATAAAAAGATTCAAGAGAAGTGGCCCAAAAACAGAGCCCTGAGGAACACCACTAGTGACTGGCCACCAGCCTGATGTTATGTTACCCCACTGACCACAACTCTCTGAGCCTGACCCTTCAGGCAGTTGTTCACCCCAGGAAGCAGAGCCACACCACAGTCTGGAGCTGCAGTCACTGCTCCAGCACTGCCCTTGTGTGTAGATACCAGCAGTGAGTATCCTCAAGAGTCCAAAATGGGCAGATATGTTGTACATTACTCTTTAAATCTGGGCTGAAACATTTATGAATTAGAGCTCATTAGTTTGAGCTCTCTGCTGCCGCAGTTGATAGGTCAGGTTTACATAATCTAACTCTTTCCAACTCATAACATTTCGTCATTCTCAGAGAAACTTCATTGTCATAGAAACTTCTGTTTGTGAGAAAATGAGGCAAAATCCCTTCTTAATCCTGCTGTATCTCAGAACAACACCCTTGCTGGCTCTCACTCGTATTTCTTTTCGGGAGAGTGTGCCAGTTGCCCCGATACCAAATTGACTAATAGGAGTGAGATAACCAGCTGTTTGCTGTTGATGGATGCAATATTACACAGAAAGTCACTGTGAGGAATTAAAGGGTTTATTTATTACTCTCTCTGCAGTATTGTTTAAAAACTCAAAAGGTCAGATATGGTACCAACAACTAATAGCACGTATTAATTAGTTGCAATTATAAAAAGACACGTTCCCAGACAAAATGCAAGCTGAGATCATCCTGGTCACTAAGAGGACACTCAACTATTCGATAAAAGTGAGTCTGCATATGTGGTTTGATAAGCTCAACCATAGGCATTATCACATATATATTCTGATAGTGAGGAGAGAATGTATTAATCCAAGTGAAGCCTGTAGCAGTCTCTATGGTTACAGCTAACGTTTTCTAATATAAGCCATTGTCTTCAGATGCTTAACTTTCCATGTTTCAACTGCTTAGGCTGAAATTTTCCATCACTGCTCATTGTTTCCAGGTGAATTCTCTAGCAATCAGGTGAGCAAATGTACTGAAGAATTCTAGCAGATTCACATGCTGAAACAGCAATTGGAAATCTGGCAGGGGCTCAATATTATCGTGTTAGCATCCTCTCAAATTTACCCTGTGGTTTGGTGACTTTAAAAGACTCAGCAGATCCTGCTAGAAGACTTGTGCTGAGATTTCCCAATGTAATATCTACAGTGGATGAATTAGTCTCGCTGGTCCCTACCAAATGCTGCCAGAACCACTCACCTGTGCACGACCCAAAATCCTGCAGAATGTGTGGGTCCAACGGGGCACAGCAGCTCCCCCTTCACCCGGGGGTTGTACCTTGGGCTTGAGAGAACAGAAGGCAGCCCAAGTTTGGTAACTGCAGCTCTTCAACTGAGCATGTTATAAATAACTGGCTCCACCCCACAGGTATCCTGGCAGCCTTTGTGTATAGTCCCAGGGACAGAGATCTGTGCAGCCGCTCCCAACGCCCTGACTCAGAACAGCCATTCTGCAGGACACCAGTTTCTGGGAGAGAGACTACACTGAGATAAGCATTTTAAAACCTCGACTGATTCTGCTCATCTAAACCATGACATAGGGTTGGAAAATGGATTCTGTGTCCTATGCTTTGGGTCATAGGAGCCAAGAGGTTCTAGATACACCCAAAGAGGTCCTTTAGCCAAGCCGGCAACAGCTTGTTCTTTCTGCAATCTCTTTACCACCCTGCCGTTATTCAAATCTTTGTTCACCACTTTTTCTATTTTTCCAGAGTTTGGGTGGTGGTTGCTAAATTTAAACTTTCAGATTACACAATTACTCCTAGATATTCCTGATTTCCTAATTAATTTTTACCAACTTCACCTCTTTAACGTACTTACCAAGTAAGCGGCGGGTTGCTCTGTTGTTCCTTGCAGGTGTCCTGTGGCTGTCGGTGGTATCCGAGGTGTTGTACATCATGCTGTTAGTCGTTGGATTCAGCCTTATGTGCCTCGAGCTCTTTCATTCAAGCAGTGTGATAGATGGGCTCAAGTTAAATGCCTTTGCTGCTGTCTTCACTGTCCTTTCAGGTATGAACCTTTCCTTTCCCTTTTGCCTGAGAAGCCAAGACAAAACTTCTTAAATTGTGAAAGAATGAAAACTGGGGGCTACAAGACTCTGTTATCCCCACTTAACTATTGCATTTATCACACAAAGACCACATGATAAATTTGCCTCTTGCCTGGGAGAAGCAGAAGTAGGTATTCCTGGTTTCAGAAGGGCAATCCAGGAATTAGCCTCCCCTGGCCCATCCAGCCATTCCACACCCACAGCCTGAGCCTTCATCTTCAGTATCACCACGCTGATTATCCAATAGAAAAGGAAAACCAAATAGTATTGCAAATTCTTCTTTCTCTGTTAATCCTAAAAGTAGGTGATGGCTTGATGCTTCGAAGCAAAGAAAGAAGCCCCATCTTGTTGTTCATTAGCAAAATTATGAATGAAAAGCGTTCTAGTAATCTCACTTTGGAGCAACCCCAAGAGTAATCTGGGGACACGTACGTCCCTCAGAACAAATGTTTCAGGCTATTTTCACGCTCGGTCGGTACTTGGAGCCCTTCAGTGAATGAACTTGAGAAATTCACTTCCCTAAAAGAAGTTATCAAATCTATCCATGCAATTAAGTGCCCCTTCACTTCTGTGCCGGCTGAAAACTCCCCAGGATTTATACAAGCAACCAGGCACAGCTGGCTTTTGTGAGCGCTCCTGCATGGACCTCTCTGGCAGAAAGAACTTCTACAATAAAAGTGCATTTTATTCCACTGTATTTCAAGCTGAAAGAGATTATAACATGCAGTGTACATTTCTGCAAACGATTTTCTATCTTCAGGGATAGCTACAAATTGTGAAATACAGTTAGTGGTATAAAACTTAGATTAGAAGTGGAGCTGAAAGGACCAAAAAAAAAAAATTGAGTAAAAACTGCCAAAGCATATTTTTCATCTTTGGATGTAATTTGGGTTTTAAAAAAAATCAGTTCAATTTTCAAAATCAAACTATGTGGAATTCTTCAGCATTCAAACAATTATTTCCATACTGGTTCTCTTTCTTGTCACCATTTACCGCAGTTTTAAGTTCTGTAAGATTTATGAAATTTTCTTTCCTACACATCTTTCTATTTTTATTTTTCCTTTCCTCTTTATAAGTCCATTGCCATGATGTTCCAAATATAAACTTTAAAATATTACAGAGAAAAGGGACAGAAAAATAGGAAGAAAAAAAACCCCACCAAAAACCCAAACCCCTGCTAGTTGGGTTTTTTTCAGTGACACAGATCTCAGAGGAAAGAAGACACGCATATTTCTTTAATCTTGGCATATTTATAATGAAACAGCTTTACAGAAATCTGATAACAAATGGGCTTTGCCTTGGAGCAACACACCTCTCATTAAATTCATGCTAGAGTTCCCTCCTAAAAGTGCAATGGGATCTTCAAATTCTCATAGCTCAACATCTAAAGGTTAGGAAAAATTACTCTTCACAGCCTGGCCACTTGTTGCTGCTACTGAACTTCTTATGAGCCATTAAAAAAACCACCACAACACTGACATTTTGGTATTCTTCATAACCTTCTACAAATTAAACAACTTATATAAGAAGTCTCTTTTGGAATATTTACAATACAGAATTTTAATTAATGTGATATATTCCATAAATAGTATTTTTAGTAAAGGTATCTGAAAAAGCTTTAAAATATATCGTATTTCCCAAATTAAGTCCCTTAAGCTCTCCTAGAAACAGCTCTGGTCCTGCAAGGCTAATGATCTTAAGCCAGCTGTAAGCGGTGAGTGTTTCTGCACTCCCAGTCACTCCAGTCCACCATTTGAGCAGGATTTTCCACCTGGGAGCATCCGTTGCCCTGGACCCCAGGGGTGGGCAAACAGGCATTTTGTCCTCTTTGTCCAGCCTTAAGCAGCCAGTTAAAGGAAAAGATGGTCTTGTAAATACAGCATTTGTTGATTTATGTTACAGGCAGGCCATTTTATCCAACATGTGACTATTAAATGTACAACATAAAATATCCTAGGATATCCCCACGGAGTGCTTGGCAAAGCATATCTAAAATAGACCAAACTGATGGGTGTCATCAGGAACAAACCAAAGCAAAAGTGCATGAAGCAGCAGAATGAAAGACAGACTCATTTTGCTATCGCTTGTAGATGGCACAATGCCACTGACAGCACAGCCAGGTACGTGTCCGCCCCCGATCCTCCTCCCCATTAAGGAGAAAAAACAGTAACTGCCACATTTCCACTGTGATCCCAGTGTTACAGCAGGACTTGCTGGTGACCTCCTACTCACCTGCGTCAGGGGACTGCCATCCTGGCCTCCCACGCAGCGTAACGTTGCTGAAACCCCATTAAGGTTTTGCAGGGCAGAGCAGAACAGCTTCTCTGAAAGGAGTCCTGGCCGTGTCAAGCCTCCTGATGGCTCCGAGTGACTGTGACATGGCTCAGGGCAGTCTGTAATATTTTATTAAGGTTGAAAAATTACTGACAGTAGGTATAGGAACAGCAAACCCCCAACTTTTAAGATCAACACCATAACTGTCAGCTGGAAAAAAATCCACTGATATAATAAGTACAGCAAGCTCCCTATGAATTCTGAAAATTAAATATAGCCAGAAACAAGCAAGGTGTGTACTGGTTTCCTGTGTTCCCATTAGCCTGCCCACCCTGCTGAAATATCATTTCTTCCAGTGTGAATTGCACTTTCCACCTCCTGACTTCCCAGTCTGTCACACCAACACGAAGCCACTGAGCAAACCACCGCAGCTTCTGGTAATAAAACATCTTCTTCCAGCCTCTGCAGTTGTTTGTATCAAATAGGCCATTTGTCTCGCTGAAGGTCCTGCTTAACATACCCACAACACAAACATGACATTCCCCGACTTCCCTCCCCCAGCACTGCCCTGAATCATCCCCATTCTGGTGAGACTAATGAAGTGCTTTAGACTCTGAAAGTCAGAAGGGAAAGGAGAGCCAAAATTTGGGTCTGTGGAGGAAAAATCAGGATCTTCCATATGGAGGAAGGGCAACTGTGGAAAAAATCAGGTGGTCAGAGATATCAGGAAACGGTAACTTTGGTTAAGGAGCAAAGTGTAGCACGTGGGCCCATGTTGTACCTCACTGTAGCAGAACATCAGTATTTTGAAGTGCCTTGAACCATCATTGCAGCACAAGGGGCTTTTGGCATCTGTAGGTCCAAGGTCCGTTTGGGAAATGAAGATCCTGCCAGATGGTTTGGCCAACTGCCTGAGCCCCTGCGTACTGGGAGCTTGGCTGGGAGCGTCACTCAGTGCTGCCTGGGTACTAAAGCAGATACATCCCGAATTATTGTAGCTAGAAAATTCTCCAAGCGTCAGAGCTGCTACTGGCCACCACTTGTGGAAAGCGGGGTTTGATGTTCCTCAGAAGGATGTCTAGATGTAGAAATTCTGGCATTTTTTTTCTGCTGAAGCTGGAGAACCACGCTGGCCAGCCAGTTGGCAGAGCAAACTCAGTGATCCAACTCCAGCCCTGCTCTTCAGCATCGCGGTGAGCAGAGTCTCTACTACAGTCTAATCTTCACCCAGTTGTAATTATCTCAGCAAAATATAACGATGTCACAAAAGCAAGCATCATCAACATTCTACCATCAAAAGTATTTCTAAGGTATCCTCTCCCTGTGCGTCACCAGGAATGCTAAGTTAACTTCCTTCTATAACTTCCAAGTGGTTTCTGAGTGTTCAAATTTATAAATCTTAGCAACTGTTCAGATAAAATGTCATTGTTTGGCTTTAACACCTGCAATCTTGCATTGCCTACAGAAGCCTCTCTCCTTGTTTTCTTACCTGAGGCCTGTCTGTGCTGGGCTAAGTGAGATAGCTCGTGGGTGGCATTACCCCTGTTTTGCAGCAGCAAGGTTGGTGGTGATGCTAATTGTGCAACGTTTTCTTCAACGACTTTCTTTCTTTAACTCTTCTCTTAATTGAGAATTCAGTATGATGTGAAGTAATGAGCTCTCAGTCACACCTTTCCTCTGCCCATGCAGCTCCCTCCTCCACAGTAGAATAGGAGGCATAAAAGTACAACAAAGACTTTTCTGGAGCTTTCAAAGCACTTCCAGCAGTAGCTATCTCAAAAATTAAAAAAAAAACCAAAAACCATTAGCACAAAAATTCCTGTTATAATCCCTGCTTCTCAGGTCTCTTGGGGATGGTGGCACACATGATGTATACTCAAGTTTTCCAAGTGACAGTCAGCCTTGGGCCAGAGGACTGGCGACCACATTCGTGGGACTATGGATGGTCCTTCTGGTAAGTGTCACCACCAGTTAATATCTTTTCATTTTCGAGTCGTTCCATCAGTCTGTGGGGAGATTGTACGTACCATCTCAAATTTCCAGGAACACACATGTGAATTTCCAGCTGCCAAAATGCCAGGAGCAAAATGCCACCAGGGCCGTAGGACTGGTGAGGTGTTAGAGGAGAGTTATCAGTGACTGTGCAGCAGCAGCAGCTGTGCCTATCAGCAGGTACACAGCATTTGTAAATAAACAGCAGCCACAATTACCAACACAGATTGAGCACCCTCATTAAAGTTCAATTTAGGTACATAATTGCCATGGCATTTCAGAGACTTTTAGCTTTTCTTTTGGTTTTGTTTTGTTTTTAATTAATGTCTCAGTTGAACCTTACAGTGCAAATTTTAACACAGCCGCAGAGGAAGGCACGGTGCTCCTGGCACCAGGATACTTCCCTGTGGATGGTGGGGAGAAGAATTGGGAAAACTGGACATGACATTTTGGAGACTGGTTTGTTGGGGTTTTTTTTAACCTTTCCCATGTATCTTCTAAAAAAAAAATCACATAAAAATTATTTGGTCAAGATACATCAACTATATTATATTGCTTGCAAGGTTATAAGAAGCTTAACAAGAACAGGATGCTGTAGAGAATAGAAATACCTGCAAACAACATTCACACCCCTCCAGAGGCACCAGCCACTTCAGATGGCTGGGGAAAATACTTTCTTTTTTTTTAATTTCTAAATATCACATATTATTTTCATTCTATCTCAAAGCAGAGACAACAACCTTCACTAACACCAATAAATAAATACACATACTTCTTAAGCACAGCACTGCAGGGAATTATTAGTCTTTCCTTCTCCCCTGACTATACTGTGTTTCATGGGAGGAGTTACCAACGTTTTAGTAACATGTTACAAAATATAAATGGCATTATATTTAAAAAACCAGCTTCTTTTGTGTATTAATAATGAATATTTACTGCATATAATAATGAACATTTAAATCTAATGCATTAATATATTTATAATATTTGTATAAATATGTATAACAATTCTGTCATATCAATTGTATAATGATTAATGTATCTAAATAATCGGCATATTCTCTATTCATTTGTCTTTAGTAATCTATTTTATAATTTGCTGCAATACTCAAAATTCAGAAGGCTGTTAAATGTCTGGCATGATATATCACTCATTAGATTACTTTCCTTCACCTTGTGCAAGCCAAGAGTCCCCATGTCTCAGAAGGGGCACCAGAGGCTGGTGGGTGCCACAGGGCTTTGGGAGCCCCCCCCTCCCCTCTCCCTGCCCAGGCTCTGAGCTGTTGGGGGCCCAGCACCCCATCCTGCCATGGCAGCTCTGGGCCCAGAGCAGACCTTGCACCCCCTTCCTGCAGCTCCCCCCGGAGCCAGGGCACAGCAGGCTTTGCTTTAAAGAGCAGGAGTGACCCTGGAGGATGCTGGAGGTACCCAACAAGCAGACAAACGTGTGGGAGCAAGCTCAGCTCTTCCCATATTCCTGAAGAGGGACCTCAGCTTCACTCCGTACAGCGGCTGTTGGCTCACCCTCATTAAAGCTGAGCTCTGATAAAGCTATTGCTGTCACAAAGCAGCTTCTCAGATTGGGTAATCTCTCTCCCTCCCCTAATACCTTCCAAGGCAACACACTTACCTATGCAGGACACTGGGCAAGGTGCAAACATCAGCCCAGTCACAGCTCCTCTGGGACAGGTGTCAACAGTGGCAGTGTTTCCAGCCTGCAGTGGTGCTCAGCAGCCTGAGGAAGGCCATGGGGTTCCTCACGCCACGCCAGTGACTTGTAACAACCTGGCAAAGGAAGGTCTGAAAGTCAAATGCAGCAAAACCAAGGCTCCTTCCTTCCAGCTAACACTGAACCACCGCTGCTGTAAGGACTAGAGAGCTACAACCTCCCCTGGCATCGCCCAGACTTGAACTCCTTCCTTGAACTGCCCACCCCAACTGCTGGTGGAGTTTGGAAACTCTGCACTCGCAGGAATTTCTTTCTCTTCCATCTGGGTTCAGGTGATGGCCTGAAGCACCAGCTTTAAATATCCATGAACCAGTAGTGCAAACATCAGCACTATTTACAGCCTTCTGTGAAAAGTACCAGTGCAGCATCCTGCCAGACAACCTGTCAGAGCACAGAGAGTTGTGACACCTCTGAAAACTGGGGCCAGAAAATGGCCTACCCATGGCCAAGAGATCTAGATTGCCTTTCCTTTCCCAAGTGCCAACGGGAAAACTGTCTTTGCTGTCACTATTTCCCCTCTATTGAAGGGAATGATAAAAATACTCCTCCTCAAAATGAGGAGGGGCTGCTTGTGATCTGCTCAGATGTCCCACTGCTTGTCATCTTACCCCTTTGCCGTTGGCAAAGCATGAGGTTGGGCTGTGCTCTGGCACAAGCCAGGAGTGGGCCAGGGGATTCTCCAGGCAGGGGGTTTCGGTGGCTCTGAGGATCAGGCAATGTTCAAGCTGGGCCCCTCTAGAAAGAAAACAAATACAAAAACCTGAGCCACACAGGAACTTGAAAGCACAGCCCTAAGCTCAGCTCCAGAAGCACTACAGGTGCAGTCCCACCACAGCTGGGGCACAGCTGGCACGGAGGGGCATTGCTGTTAAAGAGGTTTTCACCCAAGATAGGATGTAAGTCTTAACAGGTGGGAGAACCACTCTTTACACTTAAAAATAAATAACATTTAACCAAGGGCCATAAAAACTAAACCATATAAATCCTAATTGTCTTATTATGACTTGCCAAATGCCAGACCTGAGGTCACATTAGTGTCTTCATTCTGTATTTCCTTCTCTGAACCTTTCAGCATTTCTGAGTTAATGATTAGAAATTACCAGAAACTTTCACAACAAGTTTTTTCTCCGTATGTCATTCCCCAGGCACCAGCCAGGCACAGCGAAGAGCGTGGTTTCAGCTGGCTTCTTCCGTGACACTGTTTAGGAGCCCAGCTGGAAATGTTTGGAGGTGTTGGAGCTTTTCCACACACTGGAGTAGGAGGAAGACACTTGCCAGCCTTCCCTGTGCCTGGACACTCGCACAGAGCACGAGTTTCCTTTCCACTTCTCCACCCAACCATGGGAACCTAAGGGCACTTCATCACCCCAGGGTTCACTACACTCCCTTCTCATTCGATTGCATCTGGCAAACGGGTTCAGAAATGAGGAGGAAAGGGCTGCCTCCACACACTTCATTGCCATGGGAGTCCCTGAAGGACTTGTTATGCACTGAATTTTGAAATCATTGAAATGAGCCATTTCTGTTTACTTGAACCACTTCTTTTTTTTTTTTCCAGATTTTTCAGTTCATGAATATGTGTTCTTTTTCAAGTTTTGCCTAATTTGAAACGAGAAGCTGTTTCCTTGTCTGCAGATCCTTTGCAGAATGGGAAAACAGCTCATGCTGAGGGCTCTGTTGATAATGTGTATTTATAAGATAATGCTACTGTGGCTGTGTTCTTTCTGTTCTGCATAATTTATAGTAACGTTCAATTTGGTTATAGAAAAGGTGAAAGCGAGGCGCAGGTAAGGACTGTAGCCAACACACATGATCAAAGTTAATCCCAGCTCGTTAGGAAGCCACTGTGAACTCTAAGTAGCTGGAGCAGATGGGCTGAAGTCAAGGGGAGCCTGAACGCGGATAAGCTCTGCAGGCAAAAGGAGCAATTCCCTGCCTTTTTTTTTGTAGCCCCATTTCATGCTCAAAAAGCACCTGAACTCCTTGAGGCCATGAGTTCCCCCCAGCCACATCCTGAACTTGAGATGGGCGAGGTAAAGGCTGGAGGGGAGAGGTGCAGGGAGAGCAGAAAGCACCCAGGGGGAACCCAGTCGAGAAGCAGGGAGCAGAGCAGCTCCCAGCTGAACGTTCCCTGCCAGGAGACCCCAGGACAACACTTGCTGTGGCTCCAGCCTGGCATTGGGGCAGTCACTTTTTTTTTCTTCCACTTTCCTTCTCCCTCTGCCTCCCCATGCTTTTGGTTGGGATTTGGAGGTGTCCTGCCCCTGGGTGACCAAGACAGGCTGGTACTACCTGCACGCTTGGGCACTGCCCTCAGATTGGGTCTCTCCACAAAACAGAAATGCTCTCTTCTGTTCTGGTCAGGCTTTCAGAGACCAGACATAAGCCAGGAATGTTAGAAATGCCCACAAAGCAGGAAAGAAGGAAATACAGTAGTCTGATGAAGGCATAAAAAATGGAATAGAAACCATCCCTGCAGTAGCGTTGTGCAGAGTCAGTGTCCCATGGATACTGGAGAAATTCCACTGGTCCAAAAGAGGTGCTCTCTGGGGCATTACTTCTTCCAGGAGGTCATTACTGCTCCATGGGTTTTAGCACTTGTCTGCAAGGCTCTGACACCTTTCAAAGGGAAATCAAGAGGCCTTGGACTCTTCTGTCAGAGTGCACCGAGTGTTCACGTTATCACTCTGCCACATGGTTCTCCGCGGTTTGCCCAGCCCCTCGCCCAGCACGGGCCACTGGAGGTAAGGTGAGGAGAAGGGCTTTGTCACCACAGACTTACCTGCCTCGTCGCACCCTGTGTATGTGTATCTCTTGGCGTCAGAAATATAATGTGAGCTGCTGTCTTAACCCAGCTCTGTCTGCTGGTTTCTCTCTCCACAGTCTGGCATGGGGCTCTTTCACCTGCTGCATGGCGGCCTCCGTCACTACCTTGAACTCTTACACTAAGACTGTCATTGAGTTCAGACACAAGCGCAAAATCTTTGAGCAGGGCTTTCGAGAAGAGCAGAACTTCCTAGACCAGGAAGCCATGAAGTACTTCAGAGAAAGGTCAGTGCAGTCAGTCGCTTGATCAGTGGAGGTGTTCATGGACTCCTCTAGTCTCGGAGAATCCAGGCTCTCACCCGGCTCAGCACATGTGGGTGAAGCCTCTGAGATACTTGGAGAAGATGTGTGTTAAAGACAAGCACAAAAGATCGACCTTGATTTGTTTTTTTCTTAAATTTTGTGAT